GCATGTTATTTGCCATCAATTTGATGATAGAGATAATGGTTCTATATGAAAAATCTTTAATTGGTCTCACTAGCTAAGTGTGCGTGTGTTTGGAGAGCAAAAACACTAAAAACAAACTTTATTTTCATATGATCTCTTTTAAGTGGGACACTATTCTCCCTAGAATTTCAATTTTCCATCAGTGATATGACTAGATATTTGCACCTTCCAAATCAAAGTACTGGATCCTTATTCCTCATTATTTTCAATGCAAAAAGATTACCTGGTGCTATGTGTATATAGCAAGTTAAATTAAGTACTTATAAAACCTCATATAACTTTGCATAATTAAAGTGTATTTAATTTTTTTGAGAACTTATCATTAATTCAGCTATATTAGTAAACAACCAAAATGTGGATAATCTAGCTTGTCTTTTATTGAAACCAATCATGAGAAAATATAATTTTATTTCAAATACAAGCATCTACTCAAACCCAATCCCACAGAAACTTTATAGGAAAACAGAGGAAAGCAAAAACTGCTGCACGTATGTGGTTGTTGTGAATGATTTATACTGCATCTGTAAGACAGAAGACTCACTCGATTGATGACTGGGGCAAAGGGCCACTTTTGTTATAAAAGCCAACCATTATTACCACCTGCCACTCCTACACTCAAACCAAAAAGCAGGACTGGATTATATCCATTTTTGATGTATTTCTAATGAGTAAACCTTGCCAGAATGGGTACAGGTTGCCGTAAGCTGTAACTGTATCTTTTTCCTGTCCCCCCTTTTTTTAGCATCCTACTTACCTAGGAGAGGACAGAGAAGAGAAAATGTCTTACTATTCTGGCATGCTTTGATTTTATTATCAAAGCCCTGGTAATGCCACCACCTTATATTTATAAATCCAACTCCTTATCTAGCAGACCAACCTCTCCCCTCTCTCTCTGTCACAGATACCATTGTCTCCCTCATCTTTCATGCCCATTATCATGGACCTGCATCTGACTCTACCCTTTTCTCCCTGTCACTAAGAAGTGGATGTCACTAAGCCTTGTCACTTTTCCCCTGCAACATCTCTAAAGCTCCATCTCAGCTCTCCATGTCTCTAAAACCTTTACCTATGTTTTATCCTGTGTGAAGACATAAAACGGGCTTATGTGACACCACAGTTTTATCTTTAATATAAAGGAGAATTTCTTGACCATGAAACATTAGAAAGGGAGCCTGAGAGAGTCTGCTGTGATGTTTAAAAATGAGAGACTCATCTTGGATGGGAATCATTTTAAATTTTCTGGACCCCAACTCTACTCATCTACTTACTTGGGATCATTCTTCTCTCCTGGATGCAGCCCTCACACCCTAGTTCCTTCAGCTGTTATTCCTGCCTTCATTATTTATCCCTCACCTAACTACATGCATTTCTTTACTGTTGATACCTTAGAATTTCCTCATACATTCTCATGAACACTCTGCTAAAACAACTACTTCAATGCTGTTGCAATAGAGGCTAACATGTATTAAGCTCTGACAATACGATAGGCTCTGTCATAAGTGTCATAAGCACTTTGTATATATTGTCTTATTTAATCTCATAGCAAATATGTAAGGCAGTTATTAGCATTATTCCCATTTTCCAGTTTGAAGAAATGAAACTTAAATTACTGGTACAAGGTTACCTGGTTATTAAGGGTAAAACCTGCATTTACATGTAGAGAGTCTGACATGAGAGTCCCTCTCTTTTAACTTTCACAGCACCAAGAAAGTCACTTTATTAAATTTCAGGTTTGTTTCCAATAGAGCAGATGTCTACTGCTTACCTATCCAGTATTCATTGCCACTTTAAAAAAAAAAAAAAATTACCCAAAATTTTCATGGAAAAAAAATATCACTCATCCCCAAACTGTCCTGAGTACTTGCAAGAAACTAAACCCACTCAGAGCTCCAATGGTGAGTCCTTATTGGTCGATGCCAAACAAGACATCCCACTTCCTTGTCAGTTATAACAGTGGGCACTGATGTGTCTGACCCTTTTTCAAGCCAGTGAATCTCCTTTATTGCCTTAAGACAACTTGAGTTGGGCTATTTCAAGGGTGGAAATGCATTCCTGTTTGCCTAGGACTGTCCAAGCCTACACACCTGCCATCCTGGTATAATTATTAGTAGTGCTTCCTTGCACTCTTAAAGTGTCCTCATCTATATCATACATCCTACAGCCACCCTAGTATTTGCATGACTAGGAACAAGTCCTAATGAATGCATTCAATTCTTCCTCATCCAGTTTGATTTCTTGTATGGGCTTTGACTAATATCCTGCAAATTGATGTGAGAAGATAAAAAAATAATTAACCCCCTGACTCAGATAAATGAATCATGGTGAATTTGATGCATCAAATTTCTGAACTCTTCTTATTTTTGCCCAGCTAAGAAAAGTTGTCTTCCTGCCCAGGTGAAAAGGTCATCTGAGAATCTGAGATTCAGTGAGTTGCTACCTGCTGTAAGCCACACCTAAACTTAGCTGATCACTGCTCACAGGCATCTATGCCAGAAATCTAGAAGTATCTTATCCACATTCATTTTGTCAGGAGGAGGAGGAGGAGGCGGCAGTGAGAAAATGGCAACTTCAAACAATCTATGGCAATTCCACAGGAAGATCGCATTGCACAATCAGAAGCAGGCGGAGGAGACGCCCGCCTTCGAGGAGGTCATGAAGCACCTGAGCCTGACGTGGGCCGCGAGGCACCAGCTCCAGAAATCCCAGTACCTGCAACTGGGCCCGAGCCGCGGCCACTACTACGGCGGGTCCTTGCCCAGTGTGACCCAGACTGAGAGTGGCTCCATGGACCTGGCCTTCCAGACCCCTTTCCAATCCTCGGGCCTGGACACCAGCCGGACCACCCGGCACCACGGGCTGGTGGACAGGGTGTACTGGGAGCACTGCCAGCTCGGCTCCCGGCACCGCCGGCCCCTATCAGTGGACAAACACGGACCGCAGGCCGACAGCTGCCCCTACGACACCATGTACCTCTTGCCACCCGCGGACACCAGCTGGAGAAGGACCAATTCTGCCTCCGCCCTGCACCAGAGCACAATGAGGCCCACACAGCCAGAATCCTTTACCAGTGGGTCCCCAGACATGCACAAGAAAAGAGTCTTATTGTTAACAGTCCCAGGAATGGAAGAGACCACATCAGAGGCAGACAAAAACCTTCCCAAGCAAGCGTGGGACTCCAAGAAGACGGGGGCCAGGCCCAAGTCCTGTGAGGTCCCCTGAATCAACATCATCTTTTCGGCCGACCAGGAAAACACCACAGCCCTGATCCCCGCCACTCACAACACCGGGGGATCCGTGCCTGACCTGACCAACATTCACTTCCTCTCCCCGCTCCCGACCCTGCTGGACCCCGAGGAGCCACCTTCCCCGCGCTGAGCAGCTCCACCAGCACCTGCAACCTCGTGGCCAACCTGACGCACCTGGGCATTGGCGGCGCCAGCCCGTGATGAGCACACCTGGGTCCTTTCCGCAACACCACCCAGCCGGCATCAGCCCCCTGTCCCTGAGCACAGAGGCGAGGCGTCAGCAGGCATCGCCCACCCTGTCCCCACTGGCACCCATCACTCAGGCCGTGGCCATGGATGCCCTGTCTCTAGAGCAGCAGCTGCCCTACGCCTTCTTCACCTAGGCGGGCTCCCAGCAGCCGCCGTCCCCACCATCCCCGCAGGTGTCCGTCCACTTGTCCCCCCCACCCCCGCGGCCCCCTGTTGCCCAGCGCCAGCCTGACTCTTGGGCCACAGCCATCCCCGCTCGCGGTCACGGTACCGTCCTCTCTCCCCCAGTCTCCCCCAGAGAACCCCAGACAGCCGTCGATGGGGATCCACATCGCCTGGGCACCGGCTCCCGGGCCAACCAGTCTCTCACCTCGCCAGTCTCCAAGGCTTCTCCCCGGGGAGCTCCCCGCAACACAATTCCACCCTGGGCAGCGTGTTTGGGGACGCGTACTACGAGAAGCAGACGGCGGCCAGGCAGGCCAATGCTCTGTCCCACCAGCTGGAGCAGTTCAACATGACGGAGAACGCCAAGCTCCAGCAGCCGGCACACTGCCGGCTCCACGCTCAACTAGCAGGCGGCCTTGATGGGCCTCATGGGCAGCCACGGGAGCCTGCCGGACTCGCAGCAGCTGGGCAACGCCAGTCACAGTGGCATCCCCAACATCATCCTCACAGTGACAGGAGAGTCCCCCCCAACCCCCAGCCTCTATAAAGAACTGACCAGCTCTCCAGCGGGGTCAGCGACGTCGGCTTCCATTCCGACAGCCAGTTTCCCCTGGATGAACTGAAGATCGACCCTTGACCCTCGACGGACTGCACATGCTCAAAGACCCCGACGGCACCTCCCCAGCCCAGGGACGGCCACGCTCTGTCCCTCGACAACGGCCGAGCTTGTAATTCCGAGCTTTCAATGCCGCCAAGAGCCCCCCACCACCCCGCCCCCGGTTGTCCACCTCCCGCAAAACCCAAACGCTAGGCCACGAGCTGGGCCGTCCACCCACCCACCCGCCCGCCCAGGGCAGGGCTGCGATGGAGGCCACGAGCCCCCCACCCCAGCAGACCCTCCCTGCAACGGCTCCCTAGTCCCCAGCCCCGGGACCTGAGCTGTGGTCCCCCGTAAGACGCGGGAAGTGTCGGCTCCTGGCGTGGCAGGCAGGGTTCGCCAGCTCTGTGGGCCGCAGTGCATTTTCCGACTGTTTGTCCAGCTCTTACTGCCTTCCTCGGTTCCCGGTCCCCCAATCCATCCGCCACCCCCAGCCCGTGGTCAGAGAGTGAGCCCGACACACCACCCAAGGGAGGAGGTGCCAGAGAACCGGGCAGACGAAAAGTGAAATAAACACTATTTTGATGGCAATAAATACATAAATAAATAAAGGGCTGTTTCTTGCTGTCTATAAACAGTCAAAGTATCCCTTAGAATAGAAACGAGTATGCATCACTGAACATACTGATGTCCTCAGCATAGTACATCAATGCAGACACCCTGGGAGCCAGACAGAAAAGGCGTTCTTGTTGTCTGACTCAGAGCTCGAACGGTGGACTAAGTTAACTACAGAGCCCTGGTAGGAACGCTAATTTTAGCAGGAAAGAGAAAGAGAAAATGAGGAGAAAACAGTTCTAACAGATACTAATAATTGAGAACTTCGGGATTTATTCTGAAATGCAGCACAGGGTTTAGGATGTGAGCTTTGGGGAAGACAAAACATAATGATACAAAGAACAAAGGAACTAAAGTAATATAATTACTCTCGCACTTCCCATCCTTGAATAATTCCTTCCCCTCAAATTCTAAGAAAAACTTTGAAAAGATGTACTTTTTTCTCCTGCTCACACCTCATCTTCTAACCTTTTTTAAAACTTTAAAACTTTAAAAAGGTTAAAATAGCAATCATGGCAACTGGCAAAGTACATGTACCAGGGTGTCCTGGCTGGGCAGAGAATGGAGCTCCATATTTTGAGTGTACCCCTTTGCATGTAGTAATCGAATCTAGTAGGGGAAAACTTGAAACTCATCTAATGAGGCTGGTTGTTCTCAAGGTCTCCACAGATCTGCACCCAGTGTAAAGAGTCTGGAGAGAAGGATCAGATGCAGAACTGCTCTTAAAAGAGGATGGGGGCCAGGTGCAGTGGCTCATGCCTGTAATCCCAACACTTTGGGAAGCTGAGGCAGGCAGATCGCTAGGTCATGAGATCGAGACTATCCCGGCCAACATGATGAAACCCCGTCTCTACTAAATATACAAAAATTAGCTGGGTGTGGTGGTATACATCTGTAGTCCCAGCTACTCTGGAGGCTGAGACAGGAGAATTTCTTGAACCCGGGAGGCAGAGGTTGCAGTGAGCCAAGATCATGCCACTGCACTCCAGCCTGGTGCCTGGTGACAGAGAGAGACTCTGTCTCAAAAAACAAAGTGGGGGGGGATGGAAGTTCTTAACACAGCCTGGAGGACCCCATAATATTTCTACTTAACTAAGGCTCCAGGAATCTAATGTTGCATGGTAGGGTATTCCCAAACTTGATAAGTTAAAACAAGGATCATTTTATATGGGTCAAGAATTGGCTGATTTCTTTGCATCAAGTGGAGTTGACTGGGGTCCCTTGTATCCAACTGGTGACTGAGCTGGGCTGGAGGGTCCACAGGCTTTACTCCACATTTCTCAGTCCTCTTCCTCTCCATGTAGGCTCAGAGCCTCTCCACAGTTTCTCATGCAGGATGCTAGTCAGGCACAGTGCCCAAAGAAGCCAAGGCAGTGGCTACCAGTCCTCTTAAAGGCTAGGCTCACATCTGACACGGATTCACTTGCACTATACTCTATTGGTGAAACACTCACAGGCCAGCCTAGATTCATGGGAAGGGCAAATAGCCCTCACCTCTCCATAAGAAGCGTGTGAAAGAATTTGCCGCCATCTCTGATCTGCTGCATCCAGTTACAGTGGCAGTGTGTGTTCATGTGTGCATGCATACATGTACCTTGAAAGAATTATATATCTCTAAATACATGAGAGCTATTCATGTAATCTTGTTCTTCCTTCCTTTCCAAACTGAAAATGAAACAATTTTCCCCCTTTTTCTTCAAAAGTATTGCCCTAGGCATGTCTGGCACACTACTTTAAACCTCAGCTAATGAAGAGATAGTCACTGTCACAGTGATGTGAGCAGATTTCCACTCTCAGAACTGTGAGGAACTGCTTGTCTATGGCCTAGTGATCCCGGCTCAGATCTACCACATAGAGGGAAAGAAAGATCTGGATCACTAATTGCTGTACTATTTTGAGGCTCAAGCTGCATTTCTGCAGGAAATCCTGCCTTCCACCCTCTTCTTCTGACTTTGCAGGAGTGGTGCTTAGGATCTCTGGCATCAGGGCTTGAGGTAGGCTTCCAGTTTCATTGACATGAAGAACAGCTAATGTTCCATTCCTGCAGGATTCAGGCAACAGTAGTAGAGAGTAGAGCCATATTCTAGAAACCTAACAGACCCTTTCTAGAAACATCAGGGCAAGGTTTCAGAGTCTCCAGGAAATACTGAGTACAAGACTGAAAAGCAGGCCAGTCACAGTGGTTCTTGCCAAGAAGTGGTTTGAAAGGCCAAGGTGGAAAGACCACTTGAGCCCAGGAGCTGAGGCTGCAGTGAGCTATTATCGTACCACTGCGCTCCAGTCTGGGGACAAAGTAAGAGCCTGTCTCTTAAAATAAATAATAAGCCAGAACAAGTCCAGTTACCCTGGGGTTATATATAAGCTAATGAGATTTAGGTCTTAGAAATTTGTGCTTACTGGCTGGTGAAGCCTGAGATGGGCATGTTACATATATACACACACACATACATAGTGAAAAAAACATTAAACATCAGCTAGCTATTGATACCTTACTTAGCAAAAGGAAAGATGAACACTATGAAAGAGTGATGTAAAATAATCCCCTTTATTCTGTTCCATCTACCTTACTTCACTTAAACAGTTTGTGTTTCAGTCCCAGTAGGGAGTGGTAGTAAGTATTCCTGAGCTCCAGTTACGAGGCTTTTGTAGAGGTCCCTGGGGCATCCACACAACAGTCCTGCTTCATGCCGTAAACTAGGGCTGAGCAACCCTAGAATTCTTTTTTCCCCTGGGTTGTAAGTGCTTAAATTGTAGATCTGAAACTTGAAAGAAATGGGAATTCTTAATGGAAATATCATGTGTAATCATCTCTTGCTAGTGGCCTTTTCTAGTTTATTTCTCAGAAATATGAATACCGTATTTCACTTTAAATAGTACTTTCATGAAGGGGAGAAATTATTAAAGAACGAGAAGCATTTGATCATCTTATTTTAAACTTCACTTTGAATTGTGGTATAACTCACTGTCCCTTAATAAAGGAAAAACTTTCAATAACAGTTGCTGGGAATTACAGTGCACTTGAGGCAATGCTGTGTTTAACTTTGTCTTTTCTTTCCCACTTTTAATATGAATTTTCATACCAAAAAATCTGTAATATTTAGATGTATTATTTAAAGACAACAACTGTAATACTGAGAAAAGAATAAATTGAGTTAAAAAATGATCTTACTAAATTAGCCAGGTGTGGTGGTGTGCGTCTGTAGTCCTAGCTACCTAAGGTGGAGGGGAAGAGATTGAGGTGGGAGGATTGCTTGAGCCCACAAGGTCAAGGCTGCAGTGAGCTCTGATCATGCCACTGCACTCAAGTCTCAGTGATAGAGTGAGACCCTGTCTCTTTAGTAAAATAAATAAAAGATCTTATTGACTGTCTTATTGACTAAATGTTCCAATGTACAGGAGGACATTGAAAAACTGCAAATGTGTGTGGGGTATGTGTGTGTGTGTATTTGTGTGTATGCATGTAAACATATATATATGTATATATATATATACATGAAAATAATAATCAATGTAGCCACCCCTTTTATGAGCTAAAATGATGAATAGTAAATTCATCTGTCGAAAAGAAAATGAAAACAGGCAAAGAAAACATCATTATTCATTGTATAGATAAAATTGGTTATGGGGCACATCCTCAAATCATTAAATGTTTTTTGAAGCGTCTTGTAATAATTAGAATATCAAGTTCACCTTAAATGGAGACTCAGGGATTTCTTTCACTCCATCCTTCAGAAACAATAGGTACTTTTTATGTGTCAGGCTCTGTGCTGAGTGTAAAAAGAGTTGGGCATGAAAAGATGAATAAAAGTAGCCCTTGACTTCAAGGTAATGATCTATGGTAGGAAACAGGTAGAAAACCATTACAGTGCAGTGGGATGGGTAAAATGATAAGTACAGGAATAGGAGCACCTCCAAGGTTTGTCTGTTATAGAATCTGGATGTGATGCCAAAGAGACAGTGGCAAATTCAGTGGAAGGTGATAGTTTTTTTGGGTGACAAGAAATGTGGGAAGACATCACAGACCTGAGTAGGTTCTTAAAGTATAGCATACAGACAAGGGATGGAAGAAGGCAGAGGGTAAGAGGCTGTTATGATTCAGGGAAGATGTAAGGATGCCCTGAATTAAGGAAGTAAGCCTACTAGAATGGCTAAAAATAAGAAGACTGGCCTAACCAAGTTTTGGCAAGGATGTAGAAGCAACTGGAACTTAGATGCTACCGGTGGAAATGTAATTTAGGTGCAGCCATTTTGAAAAGTAATTTTAGAGTTTATTTAAAAGTTAAGTACTCCACACCTAGGTATTTATCTAAGAGGGAAATCATACAAATATTTGTACACAAATCTTCACAGCAGCTTTGACTGTAATAGCCATAAACTAGAAACGACTTAAATGTCCATCATCAAGTGATTGGATAAACAAACTGTGGTATATCCACAAATGGAATGCTACTAAAAAATTAAATGAGATGGATCATTTATTCCCACAACATGAATGAATCTCAAAATAATTAAGTTGAATGGAAGAAGCCAGACAACAAAGAGTACATACTGAATCATTTCCTTTATATAATTTGAGAATATATAAAATAATCTATAGTGAAAGCAGGTTAGTGTTTCCCTGGGGATGTGAAGGAGCAGTAGAAGGAATTACAAACAGGCATATGGAAACTTGGAGGTAATGGTTATGTTCATTATCTCAATTATGGTCATTATTTTCCAGCTGTAAACATATCACATGTATCCAATAGTACCCTTCAAAGTATATGATGTTCATTGTAGGCCAATTTTGCCTCAATACGGCTGTTAATTAAAAAAAAAAAAAAAAAAAAACCTACCTGGCAAGTGGAGATAAAAGTTTCAGCACAGGAAAACAATCTTAATTGAAGACAGGAATCGATAGGTGAATAGTCCTTAAGACCTTGGATGTAGATGAATGTAGATGAGGGAAAGGAAAACAGAATCCTGTGGGAACACCAATTTGGGACTGGCAGAGCAAGAGGACTCACGATGTAGGCAGGGAAGGCACTGCCAGCAACATCTCTTTATTTCTTAGGTTATTGTCTCATTTTTGTCTCCTTTCACAGTCGAACAGCCCATGGCATAGTTTTGAAATCTGTTCTCCAACGCTTTTGCTCTCAAGTTAGGAACATAGACTTCCCAGATGGGTCATTCTGTCTACTTGGGACACTGGCTCTGATCTTGAGTGAGCTATCCACAAATAAACAATTAAACCACAAAGAAAATTTTTCCTTTTCTTGGGCAAATCAGTGATTTCGTTGATTCAACCTCATTTCTTCCTTTTTCATGTGACACCATGGATTCATTCATTGTCCATAAGGTGTGCTGTTTGAGTTCTGCACCTTGAACTACTATGCCAAGAATAGAAGCAGATAGCCCTGATTCCTTCCCACAGCATCAACTGCCACCCCAGCGTGCTGGAGTTATGTTTGACCAGAGCATGGTCTAAGAATGAGTCCATTTATATGGCGTTTTCCGACCAGTGTAGCTTTGTTGTTGTTGTTCTTGTTTTGAGACGGAGTCTCACTCTGTCATCCAGGCTGGAGTGCAGTGGTGCGATCTTGGCTCACTGCAACCTCTGCCTCCCAGATTCAAGAGATTCTCCAGCCTCAGGCTCCCAAGTAGCTGGGATTACAGGTGCATGTCACCATGCCCAGATAATTTTTGTAATTTTTTTTTTAGTAGAGATAAGAGTTCTGCCATGTTGGCCAGGCTCTTCTCGAAATTCTGACCTCAGGTGATCCACTGGCCTTGGCCACCCAAAGTGCTAGGGTTACAGGTATGAGCTACCGTGCCCAGTGCATAGTTTTTAACATTCTTTTTGGCATTATAAATGTTATAAAAATAAAGAAATTAACACAGAAATGGAGACGGCACTCATCCTATCTCCTGCCATCATTTTCTTCAATTTGTGGAGGACCTATAATGTATGAACAAAACAGATAAGGTAGTTTCTCTCTAAAGCTCATATTCCAGGGGTGACATCTACAGGAACAAGGAAAAAGAAACAGCAACAAGATGATTCCGGTAGCAATAGGCCTAGAAAACATGATAATACGAGGTGGTTAGGAATCTTGCTTCAGATAGTGTGGTCAGAAGAGGGCCTCTCTTTGCAAAAATATCTGAGGTTTGTTCAAAGATTAGGCTTCAGTAGAGAAAATCGCCTGCATGATCCTTTGGGGGAAGAGAGTTTCCGATGAAAAGAGGCCACAAGGAGGCCCATTGATGGGAGGAGCCCACGGGGCTGGAGTAGAGTAAGTTGAGAAGTGAGTAAGTTCATTTAATGAATGAATAGGAAGAAATAGAGGCAGAGATGAAGACAAAGGTAAAAGTTCATGATGTTCTATTTGGATTTTGAATGTTTTGAAATGGGGAAGGGGAGGGATTACAGTGATAATGTGAGAAGTGAGTTTGAGATCACTCTGGCTTCCATGTGAAGTGCAGCTATAACCTAGAGATAGTGGACAAGGCAGTGTTGATAAACAGGAAGTGCAGTGTGCACATGTAAGATGTATTCTGGACACAGAGCTGACACTTTGCTGATGGACTGGATGTGCGTGTGATGGAAGGAGGCATTCGGGAATGACTTCTGCCTGGGATTTCAACATGAGCAACTACATAGGCAATGATGCTTTATCTTGAATTGGGAAAGTTCCATGAGGGAGAAACAGATTCTGGTCTGGTTAAACGATGAACAGTTCTGGTTTGGATGAGTTTAATCCCTCTCATGACCTAAGACCATCAAGTCCCTCTAACCGCATTGCCTTTTTTGTTTCTGGAGTCAAGGAAGCAACAAGACATCTAGGTGATAGAGGATCAGGAGAGCAAAACTCAGACACAAGGCATTAGATCCCGTGCCACGAGCGCAGGAACCAGAGAACACAACAGAGCTGCTAGGGAAAGCTGACATGGACCAGGTAAGCACTGGCAGATCCCTGGGACACAGGCCAGGTTGACAGAGGATTGCAGCATGGCTTATGTGTGCAAAGAGGAAAGGGGCATGTTGGAATCAACATGGAGAGGCCACTTATGCCCAGGCAGATGTCCTATGCAACCTTCTATAAAATATACCAAATTTACCTGATGCAGCTCTAGGGCCACCCTCCTGAATGACATAAGATCTACTGGAGACATAGCTTATCCCAGTTACTCCCTGTCCTGACATTTTTTTTTTTTGAGACGGAGTTTCACTCTTGTAACCGAGGCTGGAGTGCAATGGCGCAATCTCGGCTCACCTCAACCTCTGCCTCTTGGGTTCATGCAGTTCTCCTGCCTCAGGCTCCTGAGTAACTGGGATTACAGGCATGCGCCACCATGCCCAGCTAATTTTTTGTACTTTTAGTAGAGACGGGGTTTCACCATGTTGACCAGGATGGTCTCGATCTCTTGACCTCGTGATCCACCCGCCTCGGCCTCCCAAAGTGCTGGGATTACAGGCGTGAGCCACCGCGCCCGGCTATCCTGACATTTTACAGACAGACACCTAGAACCGGCTTTAGAGATATCTTTTCCCACTGCCACATGCAGGCAGGCTGAGAGACTTCCACTGGGAAGTTGAGTGCACCCTTTTGAAACCATCCCGGGTACCTCTGCAGGGCAGGTACCTAGAGGGATTCAAAGAGCTTCTCCTGCTCTCCCAGCTTCCCTCAGGTGGAAGGTGCTGGGAGGAGGAGTCAGCGTAGACCATAGAGTATGATCAGCTTAACGGGCTCTGCCACAGCACTGAGACCTGAGGCTCAGTGTGCTGGCAGAGGAGTGGAAGATATACCTGTTCTAGAACCTGCTGCTGAAGCGGAATCCACAGACCAACAGTGTTGAACTCACCTGGGAGCTTGTCAGGAACCGCAGACTGTGTGGGTCAGTCACCTGGGCAGAGCGGCTTGTTCAATGGTAGACTCTGATTCAGGAGGTCTGGGGCAAGTCCTGAGTATCTGCATCTCTCCTGGTGACTCTGCTGCTGCTCATCTTACAACAAGCACGGCGCTAGGACACCTGGTAATTTCACTGCACGCTACTCTCTCCATTTTTAAGGAAATTCTCAGGAAATCATCTCATTATTCTAGGGATTAACAATACTGAGGTCAGTGAGGGCAAGGGAGTAATAGTAGAGGGAGCAGTATAGTAATAGCAGTGGAGAGTAGAGAATTATTAATAAGAATAGTCATTCTGAAACCAGCTGTTTATGCATGAATGAGACTCATGCGTGTCTTCTAGTAGCCAATTCATTCCATCTCTCAGGTGCTCTGTACTTTTATATTGTTACTGTTGTTCATTTCATTATCATTATTATGGCAGCCTGGCAGTTAGGATACAAGACTTGGGAAGGGGTCAGGGAGACAGCTCCCCTAGTTACTAGTTGTGTGACCTTGGACAAGTCACTTAACCTCTCTAAGCTCCAGCTTTCTCATCTGTAAAGTGGGGATAATAGTTATGCCTCCCTCTTTGAGTTGCTGTGAGACTGAAATGGAGTTAAAAAGTTTATGGGTTTAAGCAGCAATGACTTATTCAGATATTAATTCTTAGTACTGCTATTAGGTATTCTACTATACTGACTTGTCCCGGAGAGGACTTGGATACCTTTTGCTTAAGGAGTAGTGAGAAACCGAATGCTTGATGTTAAAATACAAAGTCTCTAAACAAGTCACACAATAGGCGAATTATTCGAATAAAGTAAGCAATTTTCTAAATTAAGTAGGTAACTACTTCTAAAAATTTGACATGCCTCTGAGAATAAATATATATCCTCTCAGTGGATGCTGGAAAAGGATTTGCCAGATTTGAGTATCCCAACCTTACTTTTTGCCCTTGTCGAGTAATGAGACCACAGTTGGACTCTCTTTCAGTAGCCCAGTAGCCAGAGCCTGGTCCTGTGCCTGGTTCATTAGACTCACCTGATGCCAAAGTCCTATGGCATGCTGCTGATTCGAGTGCAAAGAAATGATGCTATCGGACGATGCTAGAAAAGAACATCTAGGAACTGACAAGAAAGTGAATATGCCCAACTTATGTAAATGCCCCATTACTTCTCTCTATTGCTTGTTAAAATTTGGAATAGAGGGGAGGAAGGACAGGGAACTAAGATCTGATTTATAGTACTCTACGAGTCCATTTTAGATGCTATTATCCCATTTAATTTTCACAACAACAATCCAGGTTAGATAAAATTTCTACTGTTTCAGAATTGAGGAGACTGAAGCTCATACAGGTTAAATTACATGTTTGTCTAAGCTCACACAGCTTGTAAATGATGGGGCTGGGATTTAAACCCAGGTCTGGCCTGACTCCAAAGCCCCTCATCTTTCCATCATATCTTTCTGCTTCCTGAGAAAGACATCAATTTGAGACACGAACAGCAGCTACACAAATGGTGTCGATACACTGTGGGTTCTCAAAGCTTTATGTAAGGCAATTGCTCTCAAATATTAGCATGTATCAGAGTCACCTGGAGGGCTTGCCACACCACAGATTGTTGGGCTCATCCCCAGGGTTTCTGCATCAGTTTGTCTGGGGTGGGGCCAGAAAGTCTGCCTTTCTAACAAGTTCCCAGTTGATGCGGACACTAGTCCAATGACCACACTTTAAGAACCAGTGGCTTACAGTATTGGTTCTCAAACTTGGCTGCACATGAGAATCACTTTGGGAATTTTAAAATGTCATTGTCCAGGATGCAGTCCACATAAATTACATCAGAATTTTTCTGGGTGGGACCAAGACATCAGTGATTTCTAAAACTCCTCAGATGAGCCAGGAGTGGTGGCTCATGCCTGTAAAAATAATCCCACCACTTTGCGAGGCCCAGGTGGGAGGACCACTTGAAGCCAGGAATTCAAGACCAGCTAGGGCATCATAGTAAGACCACACATTTACAAAAAATAATAATCCAGCATGATGGTGCATGCCTGCAGTCCTAGCTATTTGAGAGGCTGAGGCAGGTGAATCGCTTAAGTCCAGGAGTTCGAGGTTATAGTGAGCTATGACTGCACTCCAGGGTGGGTGACAGAGTGAGACTTTGTTTCTAAACAAAAAACTCCCCAGGTGATTCAAGTACACAGACAAGTTTGAGAACCTGTGACTGAACGGACATGATGATCCAATCAGTGGATTTAGCTGTGTAATAGGCAGGTATCTGTGGAATGTCGATACATTATTGTTCTTAAAATTACGGTGTAGGGAGGAAGAGCAAGAGAGTTTTTTCTGGGGAGGCTTCTTGGGTGAGGAAACCCAGTCAAAATCTATGAATGCAAAGCTCAGTAAGAAAAATCTCCATTTCACCATGCTTTCTGTTTCCTATTCCATTTTGAAGGAAGCTATTAGCTTGCGGACTCTCTCCAGCCTCCGTTAGCAACTTCTTTAGCAATTCTGCGGCGTTCAGGGCTGGAGCCTGTGATTTAGAGGAAACAGAGTGCAAATCAAGCTTAACTACAGTCTTCAGCTCATAAACTAAAAGTAAGCAAACTTGATTATGCTAATGCCATGCAGTGCAGCATAACACCCAAACTTTGTGGTAGATTTTAAATCAGAAATGTATATTGTGTTTTTCCCCCAAACTTGCAAGCCTTCCTTGCCACACTATTTCCCTGCTTTTTCACTCATGTATTAGCTTATGGGTTCTTACTTTTTAATAAATGTGATATTGATTTGTTTTGCAAAATTCTCCAGCAGGTAAACTTTAATTAACTGTTCCTAAAGACCCAGGTTATAAAAAAGTCATCGGACTCCACGATTACACTTTGAGGGTTTCTTCTTTGGATTTCAGGAGATGTTAAGAAGCATTCCTGCCTCAGTGGCATCCCTCGGAATTATTTGACCTCCTGAAGAACAGAAGCTGTGCCCATTCCCAGAGGAGCTGTCCAGTAAAACTCTGCCCTCTCACATCCTGTCATTTCCAGAGTGGCTTTTTCATCTCAGGCATTTCAACTTGACTTGTGGGTGAGGGGGGGTAAGGGAGGGTGTCTTCGCTCTGTTCAGGATCACACATTAGGGAGGAGAAAAAAGCAGCAATTTTCTAGGGCATCTAGAAGTCAACTGCTTTATGCCAATCAAGGAAATGATGAAGTTTCAGAATGTAAAGGGATTCCTAGTGCCTCGCGGCCAGCTCACTTCAGATTTCTCTGTGAGATACTTTGTAAAATCACATTCTTGCTTTGCAACTTACTGAAATGGCTTGCTCATTGACAGCAAAGAAGGGAGATAGAGGAGGTGGCAGGTCGAAGGGCAGGGAGGATCATCTGAGCACTACATTCCAGACTCTGCAGCTGTATTTTCTGTCAGATAATTAAACATTAACTTTTGACACTAAAATTTAGAAACATGGCTATTAAACTAATGCACGGGCCATCAGGCTAAATAGGAAAGCATGTTTGTAGTTGCATTCTTGGTCCTGGGGTTATACCTTTGGGTGCTGAGGCATGGACTGAAATGGGGATTTTTCAAAATATGGCAAAACACAGGACTTAACGCCATCAGTAAGTTCTAAACAGTTTATGAATAAGTTCATTCAGGAGGTCCCACATTCACACTGCAGTAACATTCTAAGAGGCCCTCAAGCCATTCCCAGCCAAATGCTCTACAGACTTCCCGAACAGATTAGTGCCAGCATTTGGTGGTGGGTACACATAATTGCCTACTTACTGTTTCCTTAATTTGATTACTCTCTTCCCCCAGTTTGGCCTACCTGCTGTAATAGTGGTTATCCTGTCAAAAGGAATTATTTCATACTGTGTAAAGATTCCGTTAGGGCAGCATATGGTGCTATGCAAATGAGTAAGGACCTGCAAATCACCTCAAGTGGAACCTGAACGTGATGACATTGGCTGATACCATCAAGCCAGGAAACCTCAATTAAACAAACTGCCAAATAATCACTAGCCTGTGCTAAGTGAAGCTAATATGATTTTCTTTGTTTTCTCCCATAGACACATTCACTTTTATATATTTGTAAAAATGATAGCGGTTCACGGAAAAAAATGCACACAATGCAGAGTACAAAGAGCAAAGTAAGGAAATCGTGGGGAGGCACCCCAGCTAAGGAGCCTCTCAAACAGGCTTTAGGAAATTTTAGGGACCATGAGTCTGGCTATCCGAGAAGAAAGTAGGTTGGGAAGCAAATTTCACAAAAAATGAAGTTACTGTGCAAACTATTTTTTTTTTTTTTTTGAGACAGAGTCTTGCTCTGTCACCCAGACTAGAATGCAGTGGCATGATCTTGGGTCACTGCAACCTCTGCTTCCCAGATTCAAGTGATTCTCCTGCCTCAGCCTCCTGAGTAGCTGGGATACAGGCACCCGCCACTGCACCCAGCTAATTTTTGTATTTTTAGTAGAGATGGGATTTCACCATCTTGGCCAGGTTGGTCTCAAACTCCTGACCTCATGATATACCCTCCTCAGCCTCCCAAAGTTCATGGAAAACTATTTTTATTAAAATATATTAAGCTTCATTTATCTAAATGTTAATAATTTATAAGCAGATAAAGTACATTGGTCTTCACATAAAAGAGTTGTAAGTTTCTAAAAGATGCCTACAGTTTGAAAGAGAAGATTATAGATAGCATTAACAGACTGAGAATAATTTTTTTAAAAAGTTTCCTATTCTGGCTGGGCACTGTGGCTCATGCTTATAATCCCAGCATTTTGGGAGGCCAAGGCAGGCAGATCACTTGAGGTCAGGAGTTTGAGACCAGCCTGACCAATATGGTGAAACCCATCTCTACTGAAAATAGAAAAATTAGCCGGGCACAGTGGCACATGCCTGTAATCCCAGCTACTCACAAGGCTGAGGCAGGAGAATCGCTTGATCCTGGACAACAGAGAGAGACTATGTCTCCCCCCCTCCACACACACACACACACACACACACACACACACACACATCCCTCTGTTGACTTTAGACAGAGATTAGTGATCCTTGTAATAAATTACAAAAAAATCAGCACACAGCTTTCTCTTTCCATCTCATGATTATTGGTTCTATGCTGTTTGGTCTGGCTTTAACATTTGTGTGGTTATAGCAAAGGTCCCTATGCCTAAACATTTAAATGTTATAAATGTTAACTGTTAAATGAAATACACTTATCCTCCTACCTTGACAAATACACCTTCATAATTACAAAATGAAAAATATGTGCATGTGTAAAATTATAGTTTTTTTAATATGGTTAAAAGTTGGGAAATATTGTAGAGAAGCGAATATAATTATTTTTAATCCCACTGATACATTTAAATGTTTAAGTCAGTAATAAAGACATACATAATTTACCAAGCATTATGTATTTATTTTTTGTACTTTAGCAAAATCACATATTAGGTTTTTATAATTGATATTTTAACATAATTTGTTTTCTATTGGCAGTAATGAACCAAAGCACGCAAAATAATATGTAATTTTCATATAGTACATACATATGTTTACAGCCAAAGTATAAGTTAAAATAGACATAGAAATTAAAAATCAAAATTATATTTCATATGGATTTTCACCTGAGTGGCCAATTGTAGTTTATCATTGAATGCTGCCACTAAGATTTTTTTTTTTCTTATAGGTATGATTTGCTTAAATGCCACAAGATTCTTGCCTTATAGCAGAGTTACTTGGATGTAGGAAATTTTGTATCTGTTTTTTGCTGACACAGCATTTTGAATAGCCTGAAAATAAGTGACACGTAATATCTTATTATTACTACTATCATCTCCATAAGCATTTCTTTGATTATATATTTGACTGGTTTTGTTTGTTTGTTTTGTTTTGTTTTTGTTTTATTTTTTTGAGATGGAGTCTTGCTTTGTCACTAGGCTGGAGTGCAGTGGCGCCATCTCATCTCACTGCAATCTCCACCTCCCTGGCTCAAGTGATTCTCCTGCCTCGGCCTCCACTCGGGAGCTACTCAGCTTGGATCACAGGCACGCACCACGACACCCAGCTAATTTTTATATTTTTAGTAGAGACGGGATTTCACCATGCTGGCCAGGATGGTCTCCAACTCCTGACCTCATAATTTACCTGCTCAGCTTCCCAAAGTGCTAGGATTATAGGCATGAGCCACCATACCCAGCCCCATATTTGAATATTTTAAGACTCCATTTGTTTTGTATCACATAGGAGAGATAGTATAACAGAAGTTCAGAATATGGACCCTGAAGCCAGGTCATTGGTTTCAAATCTCAGCTCTGCCACTTACCTCAAAGTGATCTTGGATAAGTTACTGAACCTCCTTGTGCCTTGTTTTCCTCATCTATGAAATGGAGACCTACTTCCATAGGGTTCTTATAAGGAGTAGCATACATAAACTAAGTCACATATATCACGTATATGGGTCTGCCTGCCATATTTATCATTTTATTGCTATTATTTTATTTTTGAAATTAAAAATTAAAATAAAATTTTTATTATTTAAGACAATTTTATCAAGTGTGTAAACAATGTCTCTGACAATGCTTACATCCATTTTTTTGTTTTTGTTTATGTGGCTTTCCTCTTTGCAATAGTCGTATTCTCTCTTCCATTTCTTTTCTATGTTCTGCCAGCTCAGTTTCCAACTTTTTAAGCTGTCTTATCCAATCTTTTCTTTGATATTCCTACTTCTTTTCTTTTGAGCTTTTTTAACTTCAGAAAGTCCATGCCATCTTTCATTTTTCTAAGACTCTAGGGGACTATTTTGTGAACTCTTCTGTTTTCTGTAATAATAAATTGATTTGTACTTATGTTAGATACTCTACTCAAACTAACAGTGTAAAGGGGAATGTATTTGCTCATAGCTCTGCAAAGTCCTAAGGCAATGTAGCTTTAGAAACATCTGGGATCTCCACTGTGTCTTAAGGTCTTTACCAGTGGTTGCCATCATGGCTGCTCTCAACCCAAGACTCATATTCTACTGCTTAGCAAACCCAGTTAAGAAATAAAGCATCTTTACCCACAGCACTGATAAGAGAAACTCCAGAGAAGACTCTGCTTGGCCCAGATTTAGTCACATGCTCATCCCTGAAGGTATCCTCTGACTAGGCAAATGGTTGTTTTGATTGGTCAGATTTGGGTTACATAGTTCTGGCTGGAAAAGTAGGGGAGAAGGATTGGTACTCACACTGGAGCCACATGAAATGAGAGTGTGTTAGTTCCCAGCTTAAAAAGTGGATACTGTCAATAAATTTAGGAGAAGAAACATGTTGACTGTGTACCTTTGCTTATGTTTCTTCCCTGGTTTTCCACCACAAGAATCAATGCATGCATTTTACATGGGTTCTTTTCTTGTTAATAACAATCTTTGAATGAAACTGTCTCCACTGAGGCCAGCTGGAATATCACCTGGAAGGGGAGGATGAGTGAATTGGCCAAGTTCATGATTTTAGTTGGAAGGTGTTTGATGCTTCTCTCATTGAATTTGCTACACCTCCCAGGAATAAGTCATCCTCCTGTTTTCAATAATTCCCCCTTCTGAGAATGCAAGAAGTCAGTGAAGTTCACAGTAATGCCACCCAAATCTCGAAGACCCTCTGTGGGATTATTGCTTCCCTTTCTCTGTCTTTTGGGCATATTTCTTGTGGTCTCCCTTCCATAATAGACCCTTGCATATGCCTGAGTGCTTTTTCCTTTATATCTACCTATCATGTCGGTGAGGATTTAATCTGTATTGACACATTTACATTCCCTTACTATTCTGATGGCCTATCCAGGACCCTAGATTATTAAACAAACCTTTTAGGATTGTCACATGTTTGGAGACAGGCATGATGGCTCACACCTATAATCCCAGTGCTTTGGGAGACCAAGGTAGGCAGATCACTTGAGGCCAGGAGTTCAAGACCAGCCTGGCCAACATGGTGAAACCCTGTCTCTATAAAAAACAAACAAGTCAGCTGGGCATGGTGGTGCACACCTGTAATTCCAGCTACTCAGGAAGGCTGAGGCATGAAAATTACTTGAATCCAGGAGGTGGAGGTTGCAGTGAGCTGAGATTGCACCACTGCACTCCAGCCTGGGCAATCGAGTGAGACTCTGTCTCAAAAAACAAACAAACAACAGAAATACATGTCCTTCTTGGAGTTTAGAGCACTATATATTGGTTTTTAGAGCACTAAAAACCAATATATAGTGCTCTCTCACACTTTATCACAAACTTCATTGTAATAGTGTAGTAGGTGTCTATCCCACGTAAAAAAATTGCCCCAAAACTTAGAGGCAAAAAACAATGAACATTTATTGTGCATAGTTTGGGGGAGTCAGAAATTTGGGAGTGGCAAAGGGTCTTTATCTCATGTCAAGATACCTGCTGGGAGATCTGTCATTTGAAGGCCTGATGGAGCTGAAGTATCCACTTCCAAGATGATTCACTCACAAGGTTGTTGGCAGGAGACCTTAGGCCTTTACTACACTAGCCTACCCTAGGCTGCCTCAGTCCTCATGCCCTGGCACCTGGCCGTCCCCAGTGCCAGTGATCCAAGCACACAAGCTAGAAACCACACTGTCTCTTATGACTTTGCTTCAGAAATTGCACTTTGTCCTTTCTGCAATATCCTATTTGTTACAGAACTCAGCCCTATTCCATGTGGGAGAGGATGCTAACGAGAGTATGAATCCTGGGCCGGCTCGGAGACTGACCATCACAGGCAGACAGTCCTCGTGGTTTAATAACAGAAACAGCTTCAAGGCGTTTCTCTGTCACTTAGTAGCTCTTTTTGTTATTATAGAATGGGCAGACGGTATATCAAAATTTGGAGATAAATGCAGTACATATTCTGGAGATGACTAAAACAAGTTTAATGTAAAACCTGCACCGGTCTGTACATAAGGAAGCAGGTCCCTAGCAGAGACCAAGAGTATCCCAGTTTGGAGTCACATCCATCATATTTCTCCATAAGCAGAAGAAAACAACTAGAGTCTCACATAAGCCAGCACTCCCTCTTTCTCCCTTTCAAACCAAATGCAAACGTGTGCTTCTAGCTGCTGGAAGCTGCTGGCTGGAGAGACAATTCCCTGTCTAAACACAGGTTGTGTTTCCCTTCAAAACTGGAGGCTTGAACACCACGCCTCAGCTTCCAGATAAAGTTCCTTTTGACCCCATATCTGTCCTGCACATACCATCTGCAGGCAGGGCCAGCCACAATCACCCTGTGGAAGCCTCTCCTCTCAGCACCTTCCCCTCCCTCAGCACCCAACTCCCTGCCCTCCCAGATGCCTTCTCTGTTTTCTTTTTTCACAGATCTTGTTTTCAGCTAGCTGTCATTTAGCTGTCAACAAATTTCCTGGAGGCATTACCTGATGGATTATATACTCTTAACTCACTCAGAGGCATTACATTTTAATAGGGCATACTTCAGGCAAAGACATCTTCAATACCCAAAGGAATACATTCTAAAAAGTTAATTTTAAGCATCAAGGCTGAAAAGGATGCTAGATAGGACCAGAGACAGATTTTGTAGTTAAGAGGCCCTAGTCATTTCTTTTCCAGTCACTGGCCACTGATACAATTTGCTTTGGGAGTTTAATCTTCATCCCCTTCTCTCCTGTGTCCTCATTCACAGCTTGGTTTCTAAACCCAGAGCTCAGATAGAATTTCTCCTTCAGAGTCTGTTCCAGCTCTCCTGGACAGCTATTCACATCCACCTGTGCCTTGGCCTGAGAAATGCCTCTCCTTCCTATCTCTCTACCTTTATTCCAGCGGTGCCTTCCTTACCTTTCTTCCTCTCTTCCCTGAATTTCAAAATTTGATCCATCTACTAACTTTCAACATAAATATCCTCGTCTATAAAGACTTCCCCAAATTCTCCCAGACCAATCTCATAACATCTGCCTCCCAGTATCACCTCCCAGTGCCCACTGGCCCCACACTGTACCCTCTGAAGACTTCAATGGAGCACATGCTCCCAGGATAGGAGGTCACCATGCACTGTTGGTTCTGCTCAGCTTGATGCACTTGGCTCCCAGGATGAGCTTTCACACTTTGGCACCTAATAGAAGCCTCATAGGTGTTTGCGTTTGTTTTTGTTATTTTTTAAAGATTAGTACTTATAGTTTCTGCCATTCATTAGCTCTGTGCTCTTAGCCAAATCATTCCCACTTCTCTGGGCCTCAGGGTCCTCCATTTCAATATGAGGAAATTGGACAAGGATTGTCCTAAGGCCTTTCCCAACAATAAAATGCAACGCAAGAAGTTGGGCTTCATGGCCCAATCTCTCCAAAGTGAAAAATTCATATTTCATTCACAGCACGATAAGAAGAGTGAGTTTGTTTTTAAGAGTACTGTGTACACATGTTTGTACAAATCAATTAACATTCCCATCTCTACTGACTCATAAGGCCTGGAAGGCAAGTTCACATACAGAAGAGAACTGAGAAGGGGGATGGGGAAGTACTCTCCAATTTATCAAGGTAGGAGCACCACACCGATTTTTACTCCATGAGTCTTAGGCAAGGTCAGCCTCCCCTTCTGCAGAATGGGAAAGTTCTGGATGACTTCTTTGAAAGGCATGGGGTCAAGGATGACTGCCAAGTCATCAGATGTCATCATACCTGCCTTTCTCCTGGATGTCTTTGCTTATCATTACAATTGAAATGCAAGAGAAACCCTAAAGGAAGTGTGAAGACAAGAAGGACACAGCTCTCTGACCACGACCACAGAAAGTGGTAAGTGCAAACACATTCCTCTGATGGGTTCACATCATTGCCTATTCTGTCTAGCCCTGATGGGTCTGAGCAAACACCCATTTTTAAGAGAATAGGCGCTCTGGCATTTGCTGTCTCTGTTGTTAAACCTTTTTCTTCTTCTGCACCCATACTCTGTGCCTGGGGTAGACTTTGTAGATGCCAGACCCAGATCCCTTTAACTAGCTGGTAACTTGACCTTACCTGCTATGAGGGGTATGTGCTAATGACTCACAGCTTCCCCCTTTCCCAGACCACTGCCATCAGACGACAGGAGCCATCTTGCCAGCATCACCTCCAAGGCCCACAGCCAATGCCTAAGGGACAGAGACCATAAAGGCCAACCTCCTATATGGGGATACCTGTTCTGTGTAGTGTGGGCTCCAGAATTTCCTCTCATAAATCAGATTAAAACTAGGCCTCACCCAAGACCAGATCCTTGCTATGCTTCTCCCACTGCCCTCTGCTGTGTCAGACTCTGCCTCTAAGGAGACCAACCCAATTAAGCTCATCTCCCCTCAGCCTGTGATTCCATAGAACCCCTTTCTAGAAAAGCCATTTTAACTGGCAGGCAGACGGCTTTGCTGCACAGCTGCCCTTTGGGGGTTTTGTGTAATCCTATTCATATTTGTTTGTGGTTAATTTATATTTAAAGGGCTAGTGGGTCTCTGGTAGTAACATTTGTAGACCACTGGAGAGAAGGAGCCTGAGGCAGCATAGACTAGTAGAAAGAGTGTGGCTTGGCATTAAAGGAAACTGAGTCAAGCTCTACTTGCAAGGGTTATTTTGACCAGGGGTCAGTTGATATACCTCTTGGGTCACAGTTGACTTCTCTGTCAAGTGGAGAGACGGCAGAGATGAACCCCAAAGTCTCTGTGTGTTCTGCTGTTCTAGGACTTTAAGATTCATATTTTTCTCTCCATTTTTACCCAGAAGGAACACCCAGGAAGAGATGTACATATGCAGGAAGGACACAAGTGAAGAGAGTGGACCCTAAACTCAGTTATCCATTTTCTATCTCTAAAGCAGAAAAACCACACATTGTTAGTGATATTTATTCAGCACATAGTGCATTCAAAGAGCTAGTTTTAAATAAAATGGTCTACGCACCTGCTTTTTGGTGGGAAGCTGGCAGCAGGGCTTCCTCATTTCACTCTGGCAACCACTCAACATCTGCTCTCCTTGACTGTTTGCATTCATAAAACGATGTCAGCATCTGTTGAAAAAGACAAAACCTGCGCAGTCAGTGCAGGACTCATTTGTGAAAATGAAAGTGCTCACTGAATCAATCATAGACCACACTGTTCACTTGAAGAGTGGAGACTTCACTTGCTCTTCCTCTCCTTTTAACTTTTGAAATGCTTTCATGTCTGCTCCTTCCTCCGGTCCTTCTCGCAGTCTTACAACATACTATCATTTGTATTTGGAACATGAGGAAACTGAGGCAGAGTGTGGTTGTATGACTTGATGTTTACATGACCTACAGTTAATGTCAAAGCAGGCCTAGACATGGTGGCTCACACCTGTAATCCCAGCACTTTGGGAGGCCAAGGCGAGCGGATCACAAGGTCAGGAGTTTGAGTCTGGCCAACATGGTGAAACCCTGTCTCTACTGAAAATACACAAATTAGCTGGGCGTGGTGGTGCGCGCTTGTAGTCCCAGCTACTTGGGAGACTGAGGCAGGAGATTCACTTGAACCCAGGAAGCAGAGGTTGCAGTGAGCTGAGATCGTGCCACTGCACTTCAGCCTGGTGACAGAGTGAGACGCTGTCTCAAAAAAAAAAAAAAAAAAGCAAGCCCAGAGTATTCTGTTTAGGCTCTCAGCTGCCTGAATTCCTACCACATCACACTGCCTTTCAAAATGGTCTAGAGTTTGCCTCAGTGTTTCTCAGTGCACAGGAAGTTTTCAAGGAAGGGGGATAATTGTTATAGAAAAAGGAATGGTTTACCATGATCTAAGTTTGAGAAATGCTGCTGTAAGCAGGCTTCTTTACAATGAGCCATCTTGGGACCTTGGATGCTGCTGAAGTGTTCCAAGATTAGGCATTGCGCGTAGCATTTCCGAACATACTGAAACATACCTCCTTTTATTCCCCCCAGGTCATCTTGCATCTTGGAAAGCGTTCTAGTAAGTCAGATTCATTGGTATATATGATACCCACAGTTCAGATATTTGGATGATTTCTGGGACCAATTAGGCATAATTTACTATTGCAACTATTTCAGTGATCAGTAACTTAATAGCTTGGTTTTGTTTGTGTGTTTGTGTATGCTGAATGTTGACAATCCTACTTGTTGCAGTGTGAGGAGTGTCATCTCTAGCACTTTGGCTTTGAAAAGGTTGCTGTAAAGGACTTACTGATCACTCTGTTGCAGAATTAATTCAGATCTCAAGCTCTTTCAAAGTTTTCAGCAGGCTAACTGGGCCTCGTGACTTCCAACAATCTGGATAGTCAAGGTATTAGTTCACACAGCCTGTAAACTCTTGGTCTTAAACTTAAGGCTTATTCAAGCTCTTTTTCTCTGAAAATCTCTATAGCTCTCCAAAACAGATTGGCATCCATCTATAATTACAAGCATTTAATTGCCCATATATAATAAAATTTCAAAGACTACAATTATCTCTTCCATGTAGACATATACCTCTCACAATTCGAAACCAAGTACCTGTGTTGGGATCAGGTTATGTGTTAACACTTCCCCAGATCATTCTGCCCTACTTGTCCCTAGGTCTTGGAATGTGCTTGATGGAGAGCCCTGGCTGCTGTCTCCCCATTTTCTATCACCACTGGCAGCAGCTCAGGCATCCTATACAGAGCTTACTGAATCCGTGAAAGCCTGGGACCCACTTATTTTGGGGAAATGAAGGAAACCAGGCCACGGAGCTGGGGATTAGTTTTCTCCCAGACAGGCTAACAAAGGTTGGCAATAAAGGTGAGGGGGGTGGAATTACCACTCAGTGACATTCCTGAGAAGTAAGAGGTAGGAGACAGAAAGAAGCCAGCAGGAAAACTTTGCTCCCATCCTCCCACTGGCAGGTAGTTCTGAGGTGCAGTGGTTCCTCGTGTCACCTCCAGAGCCTCCAAGCAAGTGTGTGTGTGTGTGTGTGTGTGTGCGTGTCTGTGTGTATAGCTATGGCTGGCTCAGAAACCACCACCTTTGACTATGTCACCTTCCCTTGATTAACTCTTTACGCCCTGGACTTGTAGCTCCCAAAGAAGCAATGGCATTCAAACTCTTCCTTAAGCTCTGTCTGGGGTACTCAGGCTGACAACTCCATACATATCCAACAGTTTTCTCTGTTTGTAAAGTTATTATAACCATAGCTCATGTATACCAAATTTTACTATACAGACTGTTCACACACAGTACTTCCCACTACCCGCTGAATGAAAATAAAATTGTGATAAGCCACTGTCTAAAACACATTGTTTATTCTTGATGGTCCTAAAGTAGATCTATTTCAAATTCCTTTCTGAAGATGATAGATGTGAGTGTTCATTAAGAAAATAAGTATGCTCTAGACAGGAATGCTGCCAGATTTCTTGCTGTTTAAGTAGGACTAGCTCATAATTTTCTACCCCAATCCTATTCAAGGGATGAAATGTATTCAGATAAAGAGGGGGAATAGCACATATGCTATATTGTAGAAGTTACAGATTGCACACAAACTTAGGAAGAAAGACAGATTCATTTAATCATATATTTTAATGAAGTAGTTGAAAAAAGTGGTTAATTCCCTATCCTTTTCTGGCACAATCGTATAAAGCTAAATTGTATAAAACTTGGTTCCTTCCTGGGGCCTAGATAATCCATACTTCCCTGGACAAGAGATGAGACCTTTTCAAACCCTCATGTGGAGAGATGTTCCTATACACATAGATTATTTCCACAAAATGCACTTTCATTGGCAACTAAAAGTCTCTGTCTTCCCAGAGGGGGTTGTGAGAATCAGAAAAGACAGAACAAGCTGCGCTGTAGTAACAAATAAGCCAATTATTTTAGTGGCTTATAACAATAAGAGCTTATTTCTCACTCTCCCTACATGTCCATCACAGGTTGGCAGGGCCTCTGATACAAGTCATCTCCCCTTTGACAGCAGCAACCATCAAGACCAATGCCAATCACCTTGACAGGTAAAAGAATTGTGAATTATGTAATAACTCTTAAAGCTTCAACACAATAGTGACATAATTATTTCTACCCACATTATAGTGAGCAAAGCAAGTCAGAGTCAGATGGCCACACCTTATTTCAAAGGAGGTGGGGAAAATCGTTCTACCAAAACTCCTAAAGAAGGAGGATCAGAATATTTTCTTACTGCTCTAATGACCGGGGCTCTACACACTGTCACCAAAGGAAGAAATTCTATCCTGGGAAAGGATTGTCAGTAGAGCAGTTTTGCCAAGTGCACCTTACCCTCTCTGAGGTCACTGTAGATATCCAGATGTTCTCTAATATTGGAAGGTGGTGTGCCGCAGGTGCATGACACACTACCACTACTACCCCGCTCCACCCCTGACTCATGCCACCTAGTGTACATGTGTAAGCACTTGTTAAAAATCCCCATCTAAGAAAGAGGCAAACTGAGCTCTTTCTCTCTGGGCTAAGCAGCTTGGATAGGAGAGAAGTAGAAACTTGCCAGCCCTATGGTCGGGCAGGATGGTATTCAGAAGTCATACCCTGACATATCATCTGCTGCACTGAAGGCTTCCATCTCCTGTTTCTGAGACTGAACGCTGCCAGTCGAGTGAACTCCCTAATTATTTGGCACCCAAAATACATCATCTCCAGATTCATCAACCTGCTCTGGAAACCTTTGCAAATGCAATCTCGAAGTCCTCTGCAGAAAGCATCCTGTCAATCTGGGAGCTGGCTTGTTTTCTGCAATGCTTTCTTAGAAAAAAAAAAAAAAAGCTATTTTCCAGAGAGTACCTTTCCTTTGAATGGTTCCTATAAATCAAAGTTGAAAGACACTGTGGCCAGAGGCCTTTTAAAAAAAATTCTGGTCTTTCTTCTCCAAGCTTTTAAAAGACCACATCTTCAGAAGCCATTTTTAAAAAAAAATCTATCTAGGGCTAAGTAAAGAATAATATAGAACAGAGATAGAGAAGAATTTTCCAGAAAAAAATAAAGAATAGAACAAATCATAAAGAGTTTTTAGGTACAGGAACCTAGAAGCATCTATGCTGAACACATTTTTATAACCCAATGTCACTATTTCTTCTTTAACCCGATTAAATGGGGCAAAGGAAAAAAGCACATTTCCCATTTTCTCCTCTTAAGTGATTCCCCCATTATGCTGTCCATGTGCCCAGAGGTCAGTGCATTAACAACCAAGCCTCCCAAAGGTTGCATCTCCCTACTCAGAGCTTCTCTGACTGCTTGGAAAGCAGGCAGCAGTTTAATGAGACAAGTTCCCCTTGGAGACTCCTCTCCCCTCGAGGAATTCTGTAAGTGCTTTATATAAAACAGTAATAGGTTGGTTCAGCCAGACTCTCTGGCTCAGATACACTAACTGGTGCTCCCTTTGGGAAGGAGGAACAGGTAGCCGAGTGATAAGACCATTAGGACTGACTGCTCCCTATGAGCTGGTAGTCCCTGAAGCCACTTTTCTTGCCCTTTGCAAGCATGAAAGGATGTCGGTGAAAGGCTGATCATAAGAGACTTCCTGGTGTGAGATAAAGCTGTCCATGGACAGACCCTGGATGATAATAAGTAGAGAGTGATTTAGTACCATGATTACTTCCGAACAGAGTCTGCAAGCATTGGGCCCAGGAAGCCCAGAGGAGCTGCAGAGGAATGAGTGAGAAGTCCGCTAGGCTGAACACACACGGGAGAGCTGAGCTGCCTGCCCTGGCATTAGAAGGAGCCAAGAGAATCCTCTGGGAGGCCTTAGCAACACCTCCCAGAACTCTGGGAGGCATCAGATAGAAGAGCCCCATCTGTGGAGAACTTCCCCACTCTTTCCATATCCCTGTCCTCTGAATTCACAGATTTTTGGCTTTCTTATAACTCCAGGCTTCATGGGTACCTGAGCCTCTGCCTTTTTTTTTTCTTTTTCTAACAGATTTGGAATGTTGTTGAGATTATTAATGACAGATCAACAACTGGAGTTACGGAAAAGTGAGCTATGGAATAAGGTCTGGGGATGGGACTTGAGATGGAAGTTCGTGGGGCAGAATAAAAAGCCTGAACAAAATTATGCGTTTCTTTTTATTTTTCTTTCTTTTCTTCTTCTTCTTTTTCTTCAATGTATGGCACTGATTGAGATCTCACTATCAACTGCACCAATTAAAAATTCTATTCAACCTGTAGAATAATTTTAAGATATGTCCACGTATTATTTGCTATTCTTCCCTTTAAGAGTTGGAGACGAATTCTCCTCTGCTTGACTGTGGGCTGGAATTCAGGATTTGTTTCTAACAAATAGTGTAAAGCAGACATGACAGTGTGTGACTTTAAAGACCGGGTTATAAAAGTTATTGTGGATTTCTACAAGTTCTCTTTCACGCTCTTGCTTGGAGCACTCATTTTGGGAGAAACCAGCTGCCATGACATGAGGACTCTTGGGCAGCTATGGACAGATCCACTCTGTAACTAATTGAGGCATCTTGCCAACAGCCATGTGAATGCACCATCTTGGAATCAGATCCTCCAGCCACAGTCAGGCATCATTTGCTGTGGCCCTTGTCAGCATTTGACTGCAACTTCACAAGAGATCCTGAGCCAGACCTCCTTGTTATGTGCTTCCAAATTCCTGACCCACAGAAATTTAGTGTGTTATAATATGTATTTCTTAGTCCACTAGGCTTTGGGATGATTCGTTAGTGCAACAATAGATAACTAAGACAACTGGGATTTTAGTTCTTATGGCACACACAGTGGCCCCAAGTAACAGGTGACCAGAATGAAGTCTGAATTAGTGTTCTCTCATTAATGCCACAGTTTATTAGCACTTGCTTTTATAAAACAAGATCTGAACGGGAGGGGAAAAAATGGGGCAAAAAGCTTTCCACTCTGTGCATGGCCTTGGCCAAGTGAATTTGTTATTTGAGAGCATCTCAACGTTTGTTTCTTTGTGCCTTTCCCTGGGTCACGTGAAAAAGTCTTCCAGTTGAAGCTGTATTGAAAGCTGTGATTATGTATTCATCTGGTCATCACTTTAAAGTAAATCAGAAGCCATATTTTTCTGTTCTGTATTTAGAGGTTGTTAGATTGGTTAAATTGGAGCAGAAAGGAAGAGAAGGAAAGTGGGGAGAAATGAGTAAAAATGAGATCTATAGTTTATATTAGCTTGTCTGTGAAGTACCAAAAGAGTCAGGAAATATCATATTTTAGCAGCTAGAGAAAAGGTGTCCTCCCGCACTTCACGTTTTTATGAGTTTTACCCCTAAGCTTTTCATACCCACCTTGATTGATTAGCCTTTCTCAGCATTACCTCTTGTAGACCTGACAGAAGAACACAGTGCGATGAAACATCTGGTAACATTTCCCAGATCCTATTATGAAATATCTTCAGTTTTCAATTCAGTGAGAAGTAAACAAGTCATTGTGTTCCCCAGAAGTGATTCACTTTGCTGTCAGAACCCACGGGCTGTTGGCGATACAGGTTTCAGAGTCCTTCCTCGGGCTGATGGGCACATGGGGCCCCATCTTTTGCAGTCTGGGTTAGCTGGAGGGGTCAGGTAACTCTGGGATACTTCACCTAAACAAATACATCTGCTTGCTCAGTGAGGTGGTTATATTTTAGATTTCAAGTGATGTGCTCTGTTGTTGTTTAGAGGTCACTTATGAATTGGCATCACATCTGCAAATAGTAATTGCTTAATTTCTGCAAAAATACCTCGTTTCATTTTTATTCCAACATTTCAGTCCAAACATACACACACACACGCACGTGCACACACACACCCCATGCCTAGGCTTGAAAAAGGCAATGCAGATAATGTGGCCACCTATAGCTCCTTGTTGTATTACATCGCCAGCTCCTTTTTCAAAGGAAAGCATTCCAGCAGATCTTTCTGACAGCAGTCTGTTCTGGACTTAATTAAAATGCACATTTCTGAAAACTTTTTATTCACTAAACAGAAAACAATGCCCGATAGCTGGAAAAGAGACTATTAGCTTGTTATTTCCAGAGATTCTTTTTTCAACAGGCATGTTTATAGACATAACATATAGAGATACTAAGCAGATACAGTTGACTAACAGACAGGGAGGGCTGAACCATAAGGACTTCAAACAAGCACGTACTAGCTTCAAGTGCACTGAGCATCTGCCAAGAGACTGAATGACTCAGAACCAGATGATTTTATAACAACACATATGGAGAAACTGAGGTTGAATGTGGGAAATAAATTTGGTTAGCCTTTCACTAAGTGATATCAGTGTGGTGCAAACAATTCAGATGTAGAAAGTGGGGGCTGGGGGAAGGCAAAGATAAATGCCTCCAAAATTAGAGTGGGTTAGCTTGATTCTGAAATCACTGTAGCACTGAGCCTTCTTTCCAGAGGCTCAGATATGGTCCACGACAGGACATTTGAACCATGGCTAGCATCTGATCCGTTCGAATCGTCAGAGGCTGTCTCAGCAGTTCAGCAAGTAAACAGGCTTCTTTCACAAAGATAAGCTCAATGATTGAATCTTATTAATATCTCTCATATCAATCACAGTGCCGGCCACATAATATGCATTCAATAAATGTTTGCACAAAAAAGTGCAATTTTTTCCATCATTTTTTATCATACCTTCTACAGTAGCTATATACTTCCTGCTTTTCTTCTTCCATTTGAAGCTGAATGAAGACAGAAGGGGGATCCACCCCTCCCTAAATCTTCTTTCCTGAAACAAATGAGCCTGCTGAAAACCCTCAGAGTCTCTAGCATACATTGTTCATACAGTTTCTCTGTCTTTCTCTCCTTTTGATTTCAGCGTAATAAGCCCTAAGCCTATTAATGCTTCTACCTGGGGAAGCCATCAAGGGGAGGAGAAGGAACACCACCTGCATTTTACCCTTCCTTTTCTCTGGGAGCCAAATTATGTTATTTCTGTAAAAGCATCTCTCCTTTTATTCCTAGTTATCTCTCGGAAATGATGGTGGATCACTTCTGTGTGGGAGCTGCTTATCTTGGTGGGGATCTGGTGGTGGGCTTTTAAAGTTGGCCCTAGCTGAGCTGGCTGTCTACAATTCTTAGTGCAACCTATTAAAAAATAAAAATAAAAAGGAAGAAGCCATTCCTGTCTCCTCTGGTGTGCTGGTGTAGAAAATGTGAGTGAACATTTTCATTTTCAGCTCCAGTTTCTTAATCCCTTGCAGTGGGAGAAAGACAGTAGACCAGTAAACTCAGAACTTCACAGGTCCCACGCTCACGCTCAGCTTTATGGTAAATATTGTAATACTGCCCCAGGAAACTAGGACACAGGCATGGGAGAATGTCTAAAGGCAGTCTGAGTGTGCTTCAGTCAGTAGTATTTTCTTCTATGACAAATAGTTATCCTTTTGGTGAAACCTGTTTTAAAATGCTAATCCAAGTTTTTTTTACAGTTGGCCTCAGGCAGCCATGAGTGACCCTGTTCCTTGAAAGCAGCCTCACCCAGGGGTCAGGTGTCTTGTCTTGTGGAAGAAGGGTTTGCTACGTTATAAACCAAGGCAGTGGAAGCCGGAGCTAAGAGAAAGTGGCCTTAGAGTTTTCTTATTTAATATGAAAAAACTGGCAAAGCTATTTTTGGGGGAGATCAGGGTTCAAAAAACAGTGGTCAGGAAACATTGGCTAAGGCTAAACTTAGTGGTACAGAGAATTTGGATTCCTACACGAGCCTCCTCACACGGGATCAGAAAGGAGAGCTGTTGTAAAAGCAAGCAGCCAGTAAAGTGTTGAATATGAATGTGTGGGCTCATCACAGTCTGGCTGCCTGCCAAGTGGGGCCACTTTTGTGGCCAGAACTGCAGTCCATTAGCTCAGTTCGATTGCATGGACCTTGTTGGCCTGGAGGAAGCAGTGACAGAGGCAGAACCTTGCTCATCCAACCTCAGTGCCCATAATAGACAAAAATTAAAATAACACCTGAAAAGTAAGAAAAACAAAAAGTGGCTATACAGCCAGGCAAAAAAGGAAATGAAGACAGCATGGATGAGCTGTGTATTCTCCTTTTTTTCTTACTCTAGGTTAAACTATGTTCTATGGAATGCTGAACTTCCACAAACATCTAGCCTGAATGTCCCCTCTATCAAGAAAACAAAGTCAGAGTTCATAAAAGATGAATTGAAAGGAAGCCAAAAATACAATTTCATGAAACTGAAGGCAGCTTTTTGGGTATAATGGGTAGGGTGTCTATGTGTGCAAAGATTAAGACTGAGGGCAGGTAGTACACTTTTATTTAAAGGATTCCTGGTTGGGGAGGCAAGGATGTGGCCAGGAATGGCGTACTCAAGACAAGGAACCTAAATGACTGTGCACTGTAAGTCAGTAATAATGGGAAGAGCTTGCTCTCATGCGAAATGAGGTTTTCATTTCCTCTGTTCCACTCTCAGTAACAGGGTAGGGAAGAGAAGAGTGGAAAGGAGATTCAGTAAGGAAACCATAGGTCCCAGCAACAAGATGAGGAAGCCAGGGCCTGAGGAGGGAGCTCCCAGGGCAGGAATGGCCAACACTGAGAGTTCAGCAACTGTGATGTCGTACAACTACTGTGGTTTGAATGTGTGTTCCCCCAAATTCATGTGTTGAAATCCTAACCCCACTGTGATGGGAGGCAGTACCTCTGGGGAGGTGATTCAATCATGGGATAGAGCCCTGATGAATGGAGTTATAAAAGAGACCCCAGGGGCTGGGCATGGTGGCTCACTCCTATAATCTCAGCACTTTGGGAGGCCACGGCAGGCAGATCACCTGATGTTAGAAGTTCGAGACCAGCCTGACCAAGATGATGAAACTCCATCTCTACTAAAAATACAAAATTAGCTGGGCACCCTGGTATACACCTATAATCCCAGCTACTCAGGAGGCTGAGGCAGGAGAATCACTTGAACCTGGGAGGTGGAGGTGGCAGTGAGCCGAGATTGCGCCATTGCACTCCAGGCTGGGCAACAAAGAGTGACACTCAGTTTCAAAAAAATAAAAAATAAAATAAAAATAGACCCCAGAAAACTCTTACCCCTTCCACCTTGTGAGGTCTCAGCAAGAAGATGGCCGTCTATGAACTAGGAAGTGGGTCCTCCCCAGACACCAAATCTGCCTTGATCTTGAACATCTCAGCCTCCAGGACTGTGAGAAGTAAATATCTGTTGCTTATAAGTCACTCATTTATGGTATTTTTGTTACACCAGCATGAACAGACTAAGACAACAACCCATATCAATGTTTCCAACATGTGCTATAATCACTCTCTAGCTTTCGTCATGTCTTCATGAATGTCACCAGGATCTACCTGGTGACAGGGCTGCTTTGGGTCCACTGTGCTCACACTGCAGGTCACAGGGGCCTAGAGGCCAGAGAGGACTGAGAAAGTGAGCTAGATTGAGAGTATGCTGTCAGGTGACACCAGGACACCTGAAAAAATCCAGGAATTCTCAGAGACGTCCCCTCAAACAGTCGAAGTGTGATCATCAAAATGAGGAAAGAGCCAAAGCTATCTTACTTGAATGGTTAAGCCAAAGCTAACCCAGAAGTCTGGGACTTGGGAAAACTGTATCATATGGCCACGAACACTGCTCATATTGATGAAAAACATAGAAAGTACGTCTTTCTGTGAGTACAGTGGTACCCACGTGCACACCAGGGCAGGCAAACCACACCTAGTTTCAGAAATGCTGATTCAACTGCCCCTGCCGTCTTCCATAATTCCTGGCACACTTCTTCATCTCCCTGCCTCCTTTCCTGTAATCTTCTCTTCCAATATCCCTGGTTGTGTAGCAATTAGCAAGCCTGGCAGTGCAGGTCCTGCAGAGCCTGGCGGCTACACTGTCAGTCAGCCAAGGAGCGTAGGAGGCTGTGATGATTTATTGAATTTATTGTTTCTACTAATATGAGTAAACAGGCCAAACTACTTTTAAAAAGCCAAAAGTGAAACTACTCCTCCTGGAGAATCATTAATGTGAAATAAAATGATTGGTAGAGAGCTTTAATGTAATGTCATGCTAAATGTATAATGGTCCAAAGTTAAATTGCTTTCTGCTATCTGTTCTTTTTGTCTTACTGTCTAACACTCTGTATGATATTATCATTAAGCCACATAAAATGTTACTTCCTCGTTGTCCTGAGACTTGATTAAATACTTCATTTTGGTTCTTTAAGTTGCTATATTTTTTGGAGGGGGAGGGGAGCTTATTTCTATTTTTAAAATTTATTATTACTGAATTAAATTTACATATAGATAAGGAGCTTAGAAAAATGTATTAACCTGTGTAACCACTACCCTAATCAAGACATACAAAATCTCTGTCATCCTAGAAAGTAGCCTTGTGTTCCTTTCCAGTTACCCCTCACCAAATCCATCCCCTGCAACGTCACCACCGTTCTAATTTCAAAGGTTAGTTTTGCCTGTTGCTGAACTTCATATAAACAGGAGCCTGCTATATGTAGTCTTTGGTGTCTGATTCCTTTGCATAACAGGTTTTTAATATTCATTCATGTTGGCATATGCTTCAATGATCTGTTCATTTTTATTGCTGAGTACCATTCTATTATATACATGTAACACAACGTGTATGTTCATTCTACTGTTGATGATGTTTGGAAAATTTCCAGTTTGGAACTATTGTGATTAAAGCTGCTATAAAGATTCTTATGCAAGTCTTTTTGTAGGTATGTTTTCATTTGTCTTGGGTAGAAGTAGAATTGCAAGATCAAAGAGTAGATGTATGTTTAACATTAAAAGGAACTGCCGAACAGTTTTCCAAAGTTCTCACGTTTTTTATTTCTACCAGTACAGTGCAAGAGCTCTGTTGTTCCACATCCTTGATGATTTCTTTGATTTCAGCCATTCTAGTAGATGTGAAATGGCATTTTGTTGTTGATATAGCTTGGATGTTTGTCCTCTCCATATTTCATGTTGAAATATGATCCCTGGTGTTGGAGGTGAGGCTTAGTGGGGGTGTCTCGGTCACGGGAGTGAATCCCTCATTAATGGCTTGGTGCCCTACTTGCAGTAAAGAATGAGTTCTAATCCTATTAGCTGACGTGAGAGCTGGCTGTTTAAAAGAGTTTGGCACCTCCTCCCCGCTCTCTCTTGCTCCCTCTCTTACCCTGTGATACGGCTGCTCCGCCTTCACCTTCCGCCATGATTGTAACCTTCCTGAGACCTCACTAGAAACACACGCTAGCACCATGCCTCTTGTAGACTCTGCAGAACTGTGAGCCATAATAAACTCCTTTTTTTCACAAATTGCCTGGTTGGCCTCAGACATTCTTTTATAGCAATGCAAAATGGACTAACATAATCACAGCCTTAATTTTTATTTTCCTTATGATGATGTTGATCCTATTTCCATGTGATTATTGGCCATGTGCATATTTTATTTTGAGAAATCTCTAAACAAATACTTTTTCTATTTTATTATTAAGTTATCATCATTTTATTTTTTGGTGATTTATAGAAGTTTTCACATTCTAGATAAAGTCCTACTATGTTCTCCAGGCTGTGGCTTACCGATTTATTTTCTTAACAGTACTTTTTAATGGGAAGTTTTTAATTTTGACAGTCTAGTTTATCAAATTTTTTCTTTTATATGTAGCATTTTAAAATTTCCTTTAGGCAATCTTCACTTACCTGTTTGAGTGTTTTTTTGGCTGAATCGTACAAAAACATTTAAAAACTATTCTCAGGCCAGGTGCAGTGGATCACACCTATAATCCCAGTACTTTGAGAGGCTGAGGCAGGTGGATCGACCTGAAGTCCGGAGTTTGATATCGGCCTAACCAACATGGAGAAACCCCGTCTCTACTAAAAACACAAAATTGGCTGAGCGTGGTGGCACATACTTGTAATTCTTGCTACTCAGGAGGCTGAGACAGGAGAGTCACTTGAACCAGGGATGCAGAGGTTGTGGTGAGCCGAGATTGTTCCATTGCACTCCCGCCTGGGCAGCAAGAGGGAAACTCCGTCTCAAAAACAAAGTGTTCTCAATAATAAAAATTGTCAGATTACCTATGTTTGAAAAAATATCTATTTTTATTATTTTTATTTAGTTACCCAAATGTAGTGGTGTGCTGGTAAAATGATTTTCAGGTTGAGCAGGGGAAGCCCTGATTTATAGTATTCACCAATTTTCATGGTGTGAATACTCTCACCATGACTGATTTTAAACTGTGATTTAAAATATGGGTCACAAAATTCCTGAGTATTTGACAGTGGGCTCTCATTAGCTATTATGAGCCCCTCCAGCACACCACTGCAAATGCCACATGAAAACAGGTGGCCAAAAGTAAACCCTTAGGGAAAGGCTGTTTCCAGGAAAACTAGAAAGATGCCATGTTTTAAGAGACACTTGGCCACCAAAATTGGCGCAACAGTGACCATGACTGACCCCAAAGCTGGATCTGACTTCCAACTGTGGTTCATATACACAGAAGTGCAGATCAGAGTGATGTGAGAGCTAAAATATCCAACATGGAAAATGAGGAACCCAATGTCCTGGTAAATTAGTTTAAGGGTAGATGGTCTGCTGATATTCCCATTATTGGTAAGATGAAGAGGCAACTATCACCTGAAGATGCTAAAAGGAAACTGTATGTGAAACTGGAGGACCTCACAGGCTGGGGCAAGAGAATAGACCCTGACACTATAGACAAAGGGAGCAGAATAGACACCAACAGGGAACGACTCCTGGGAAGCCTCGGGACCCATGGATGCATCTTCTACTAGTACTTTCACCTGGAGTAGGAATTGAACATTAAACAACAGAAGCCAATGAGGAGTTAAGTGGATGTGTATCATCCACAGCTGCTGTGGTGAGGGCCATGCTGATGTTACAACACAAGATAGGACCATGGGCTCAAAACATCTTTGAGTAATAAGGAAGAGTCTCATAGGTTACATTCTTTTCATCAGCAAGATAAGAAAATTTATAATAATCCCCTACCATGGTAATAAAGAAAAAGAGGCATTTATAGCAATCATTCTGCAATGAATTTTCATTTTAGAGTGGGGAAGGCCTGGAGATTTACAGCTGCTATGGTTCTCCGTAGCAGCAATAACAGAAATAGGGAGCAAGGAACACATTTTGAAAAACCTGTATTCTTTCAAAACTAAGCGATGACTAATTATAGACAGATTTAGAAGCATTTCCAGTTTAAATATATTAAAGTTATTTTATTTATTCTATGAAATATACATATGGTCATATATAGACATATTTATATTTAACTTAGTTTAAATCAGCATAATAAAATGAATCCACTTATATTCACTAATGAGCTTATATAGTTGTCCCTCTGTATTCATGAATTCAGCATCTACCTGCAGATTCTGCAATCTACTGATTACAAATATTTTAAAAAACAATTAAAAATAACAATACAAAATTTAAAGTAATGCAAATTTATAAATAGCACAAAAACTATTTTCATAGCATTTACATTGTATTAAGTATTATAAGTAATCTAGATATGATTTAAGTGTAAGGGAGGATGTGCATAAGCTATGCAAAAATGGGGGATTTGGGTATCCACAAGGAACGAATCCTTCATGGAATACCAAGGAACAGCTGTTTAATAAAACTTCACCAGTGCCAGTACTTGATATTCATCCCTTGATCCATTTTTCCCACTTCCCTCCATTCATAGAGAAAACATTTCTTCATTTCAATCCCAAGTGGTTTTCCTAACTCTACTACCTACTCAGCCATGAACTAAAAAGTTGTTGTTGTTGTTTTATAATGTACCCCACAGTTTTATGTGTCCTGTATTAAGAGACATTTCTTTCACCCTAGTGTGTCAAATTTTTAGAAACAGAGTCCCTATCTTTTAGGACCGCTAAACAATAGGCTTGTAGGAGACCTGCTCATTAAGGTGCCCCTACCCACATGCTCTTGTTCAGTGAAGCTCTCCCACCCTCTCCAGCTTAGCAAGCCACAGAGGTGATGACCTCATCCACACCCCACTCCTGTTTACAGTTGATTACATGAAGCTTATACACCTGACACAAGCAGGGCCCCATAACAGGAAAATGGAGATCTAGGTAGCTCATGTTGGCCACTGGGTTTGAGAAGTTGTGTACAACTGGGGCTGAGAGTACTGCTTTCTCTCATATTTACCCTCTTCTAGAGAGAGAAAGGATGAAGGGGATGCACTTTTTAGTCTAACTCCTGCATGATTCCTAGCTGCACTTCTTGTCTATTGGTAATGCGTGCTGCTCTTTTATCTTTTCAATGACTGCATCTTTTTTACATTGTTGTTTGAAAAGTTTTAACAGGGTTCTGTTTCCTAAACTAAGGTTCTCTGATAAAGACAAGACAGGGTTGAGAAGAAAGAAAAGCTGATAGAAGTTACAGTGGCAATGTGAAAATAAACGAGAATCTAGCCAGGAAAACATGAACTTCTTCAAGCATTTCCAACAGAGAGAATTGAATGCAGGGAGTTGGTAACCCAAGTGATAAAGATGCTGAGCACCAACCAGACGATGATGAGAAACTCAGAGATTAGCAACAGCAGGAAGCCACTATCATGCCTAGGCTAGAGGGACAAAAGGAGCAGGGGGTGTTACTAGAACCAAAGGTTTGGGTTTTGTTGGGGGGTGGGGTTCTGGAACCATGAAGAGCCTGTCTGGTGAGAGATGGAACCAAGAGGGAGGCATAGCTACTGCCAAAGAAACCATCCACCGCAGAGTGGGAGGGGAGATACAGCTGGACTTCTTCCATTCCCCATTCTGCAATTCTCCTGTTAGTGTCTTCCACTAGGTGATTTCAGCCAGAAGCCAACTGACCTGAGTACTATAATGTGGAGAAGAGCAGAGAAAGGAAAGAAATGAATCTGAGGTCCAGGACCGGTACAGTGTAGAAGCAAGGCATTCTCTTTTTGTCAGCAGAGTGAAACAATCACGAGTATCATGGATATGGAAACAACTTAAGTGGCCAATGATAGGTAAATGGTTAATCGGTTATAAAATATTATGTGGCCTTTAAAAATAATATTAAAAAGAATTCGCAATTATATAAGAAAACATTAAAAGTTGAAGGTTAAGTAAAATTTGAGAAAAATATTACATATAATTTCAGCTACTTAAATTATATGTAGAAAAAAATTACATATAAGTTCAGCTACTTAAGTTACATGTAGAAAACAGCTGTCAAGTATGTATATCAAAAGGTAAATATTGTTCTATTTTGAGATTATGGATCTTTGTATTTTCTTATTTATATATATTTTTTGTATGGGGAAAATTATCAACATTGAGCATCTATAACTATTATAACTGGAAAAGAAGATTATCTTTGTCATCACTTGGAATATGGAATCCACTGGGGTAATGAACATAGCTCCCAGGAAGTTTATCTGCCATTTGGTGACATGACTATTAGAAATGATAGTCATGACACTCTCATCTTCCTGCAGTATTTTACATTTTATAAAACAGTTTTACTGTTTTTTTTCTTTATAATCTCATGAGCTAGCTTTTCCTGTCTTGCAGAGAAAGAAATAGAACTTACAAGATAAAACTCGTGCTAAAAGTGAGAGCCAGAATCAGAGCATTGGCCTTGGTGTCTCTCCCAGAGAAAGCACTCTGGGAGTCAGTACCCACCTCCAACTACTTGGTAGGAATAAACTTTTCCACTTCCTCGGAAGTATGGTCATGTGACTTGCCTTGGCCAATGAAATATCAGCATAAATAATGTCCTTTACTTCCTGGTAAAAACTTTAAAAGCTGACATACAATTAGTGACAGTCTCTTTCTACACTTATGTTCATCATGGGAACACATCTAGAATAAAGCCTCCATAAGTCTGGGCCCCTAAGAACCCCATCTATTACCTGCTTTGGGCAATAATATAGCATGAACAAAAAATAAGCTACATTGGGTTAAGACCCTGAGATCTCAGGGATGTTTGTAAAGCCTAACCTATCCCATTCTGATCAAAACAGAATTTAAGTTCTTCACAGCACTAAAATATGTGTCTGATATTTCTATTCACACCTAAAGATAATTGAAGTGACTACTTGTATAAACAGCATATAGTGTACACAAAATAAAAATATCAGAGCAGAATAGTCAAAGATATATGTTTTAATTATCTAGAATAACTTTATAAGTGATAAAGAAGTAATTGTGTAAACTTAAAAAGAGATGAAATGACAAACGAAGTTTGGAAAAAAATCTCCTAGGACTACTTATTTGCTTTCTCTTCCTCTTCTCTTCTTCAAAATATATAAATTGGTTCCTTCCTTTCTGTATCAGAAAGCCATGAAGGCAGACCCAAATATGCAGGTTATATGAAGTAGCAGGCTCAAGTAGAGGTTGGGCTTACAAGCAAGGATGGGGCAGCCAGGTGGGGTCAAGAGATTGGTTACGTACACGGAGACTTGGGTATTGGGAGCACTGGGTGACAGCTTTCTCACTGTCAAGAAAAAGAAGTACAAATATGAAAAGGAGAGAAGTTAAACTAGACCCTGCGTTATTGGATTGGAATTGGAAGTAGCAGTGAATACCAAAGTGGCTCCCGCCGGAGGTCATGGCGCTTGCGAAGGCGAGGTCATCAGTTCAAGGCTAACCTGAGCAACCTCATAAAGCTCAAACTGATTGGCAAAAAAAAGAATTCATGATTTTCAATGTAGTTGAAAAATATAGAATGAATATTATCCATACGCCTGCACACACACATACACACAAACAGGATGGGTCTGAAAGTGAGTCTGGAACATCTTTTTGGAACAAAAAGTAAGGAAATGGTCAAAGAACGATGAGTAAATCCTCAGAGTTCACATACATAGGGTCTTTTGTTGGCCAAACTTGGGCAATTTGGCATCAAAATAAATAATAAAAATTGTTTATAACCTGTTGAGTTAACTAGAAAGCCAAGAGTCTAGACTGACATGAATAAAGGAATGAATAAATTCATCAGTAAAAGGGAAAATTCTTCCTTAT